AGGGTGGTGATACAGTGGCGGTTCGAGGCCGTGTAGCTCTGGAAGCCGTGTAGTGCCAACCCACGACCGTGATGACGACGACGGCGTCGCCCTCGACTCCGGTGACTTTGGCAGCACGTGGGGGCTCTGATCCTCCTCTCACAATCTCCTTCTCGGCCCTCTACTCTCGGTGCGGTGCGGCTGCTAGGCCACCAAGCGGCGCCGGTGGCTGAGGGAGAGGCTAATGCGCTGGGCATGAGCGGCGTGCGGGCTGGCTTTATAGCCGAGCACCATGCCCCCAATGGCGTCTGGTATCGTGCGGTGGAGAGACGTGGAGCGCATCCGACGATGGTGCGGGGTTGCGTGACCGTGGCGCATGGGGGAGCAAGGCCATGCCCCGGGCGTGACCCCCTGGCCCACCCCTGCCACCGCTGTCGGCCCTTGGTCGCGCGGGCGGTTGAGCGTGGCGTGGAGAAGATGAACAGGGGAAAACTGGCGGGTGGGGCTCGGTAGGTAGTGTTAGCAGGCGAAGCGGAGGGCGCGCGGGCGTGCGGCTGGCTGCTGGGCCTGCGCGAGCTCGTGGGCCGGCCTGCTACTGCGTGCTGGCGGGGCTGGCCGGTTGCTGGCTGGGCCATGAAGTCGAGCAGGCCGAGCTGGCTGCGAGGCCCTCTTCCTCATTTCCTTTTTCTGTTTTCGTTTTCTTCTTCCTTGATTTGAATTCAAATTTGGTTTGGGTATTTGAATTCAAAATGGGTGCACCAAATTCATTGGAGTTTTAGATATGAGGCCCACCACATTCTTTTATATATATTAGGAACTTATTTAGCTATTTTGTATATCAACATAGGTGTAGTTTGTTATATATAAAAATAGAATTAGTTTTCTCTTTTTACACATTTATCCTTTGGTTTGAATAGTAATTACTTTATGGTGTGTTTCTTTAAAAGAGTTGTTAAGCATAACATAACACAAATGGAAATCCAAATCACAATTTGAGTTAGCAATGTATGCATCACTTTATTTGTTAGAAATTAAATAATCATAATCAACAAATGACATGCCATGCTTATGTGTTGACTTCGGTTGGCGTTAGACCTAATGCATCTCTTAGGTTGGGTTTCTATACATGACACTCATCATCACATGGGAGTTTTGAGAAAAAATTTGTAGTTGATATTTTTGATGTATGGATTTTTGGGTTGTTACAATGTTGGTGCCTTTGCCTTCGCCATTGGGCTCACCGTCGGCGAGTTTGCGTCGGTCAGCGTCGTCGCCGTCGCGGTCAAAGCTAGAGGTTGGGGATGACAGGTGGGACCCGGGTGTCAGCGACTGTGTAGTTCAAAATGGATTTTTCTATTTTCAGGAATGAATGAATAGTGATGCAATTTGTTATTTTTGTGTAGATTTATTTAGAGCTCCAAAAATTATGAAAATTTTTGTGTGATCTCTCTGTGATGAATACTATTTAAGAAAAATATGAACTATTGTTTTTCAGTACTTTTTAAATATGATAAAAATTGCTTAATTAATTAATAAATGAGTTTCTAGGATTTTTCTATGCTTATTTATGTATCCAAAAATTATGAAAATTGTTTTGCCACTTAGTTATCATGTGATGAACATTTACAAAAAATTTGAGGTCAATTGGAACAAGTTGATTTATTTCATAATTCTTAATTAATTAATTAATTCATAAAAGCAAGTAGTAACCTTTAGTGATTTAGGTTTTGTTTGAATTTTTGATTGAGTAATGTCTTTGGGTCATTAGTTGGTAATGATCCTTGGCAATTGATGTGAGTGTTACGAAAATGATTTAGTTAGTTTAACTTGTAACTGTACCGCGAAGGAAAGTTGTATTCAAATTGTTAATTTTGCATCCATCATCAGGCATCATGTTTCGTATTCCGCATCATGTTAAACATGGCATTGTTACTACGTGTAGTGAACGAAGGTGAGCACGTGGTAGTTAATCAAGTAGTTGAGGAGGTTGATCCGTCTGTGGAGGTTGGTGTTGATATTGATGGAACGACTCTGGACCTAGACTTTTCCGTCAACAAAGGCAAGCCCCGGATGCATACAACCCTACCTTGTATTTTACAAATTAATTTTGTTTTTGCTTCTTTTTACTGCATTAAGTGATTAGGAGTCAAGTGAAAACCGAATTGGTACATTACCAACCTTGTTATTCCATATTTACCATATTACCAGTTTTAAATTCGTATATGCCTAGTTTTGCTTAGCTATGCTTAGAACGATGAAAGTCGGGTGATTACCTGTCATCTACAAGTTTTAAATGGATCTTTGGTTACTTATGTTATCATGTGATATATGAATGTGGAGTAATAAATCTAGACCGGGCGGACTCGGTGTATGGGAGCCGCAAGACAAGGAGGTCTTGTGAGCGGGTTCTTTCTGCCTGTGTCGATTAAGGTCTGTACCGTTGTTGAATTGCATGAGGTGAGACTTTGTAGTACTAACCACATACTCCGGTAAGCCTTAACTTGGCTATTCTATTACGAGAATGGCTACTCGCACACTGAGAGTGGAGAGATGGCGGGAATAGCGTGTACCCACGTGGCAATGGGCTGGATTGGTGGAGTACTGTATTCTCGGGTGGCGCGGATCCGTTCTTGTTTAGAGGATCCGAGGGTAGGTTGATATATGTAAGTCGGGGACCTGCATATGTCGTGTGGTCTGGAATTCCCAGCTGGGTTTTAATCGGTTTGAATCATCGTTGCTCCTCGGTTATGGAGACTCAACTCACTGTTCATCATCGTAGTAATAAATAATTGGAATTTAAGAATGGTTTGAGAAAGTGTTGGATATGAAGTTTTATGATCTCATTGCGGATCGTGTCAGCTTTGTATATGATCTTAAGAAGTTTTAAACGTTGATATAAGAATTTTGTTAAAAAGCTTTTATGCAAAAGAACCTTGATTATTGCTAAAGCCATACTTTGAAGTCATGAGCCTGCATTCCTGTGTTTTATAAATTCTTATTTTGGTTAAGTCTTGTTGAGTACTTTTGTACTCAGGGTTCGTTGACCCATGTTGCAGGTGAGGCTCATGAGCAGATCTGTTTTGGATCGTGCTGCATGACGGTTGTTCCTTGTGATGACGAGAAGTAGATGTGTGGCTCTTGGGCAGAGCAGCTTATTTGTGTGTTCTGTAATATGTTATAATGCCACTCCACTACTTTGGTTTGTATTATTTTTCGAACTTAGTTGTATGGTTTGAAACAAATGGTTTGTAAACTATGTTATTGTAAGACTTCCGCTGTTTTTACTCTGGTGTATCTATTTGAATAAACTATTGTAATACTGCAATGACTCTGTAATGTGATCCTGCTCAGAAATCGTGGATGATTCGGGGTTCCCCGAGGATACCCGACAGTCTTCTTAAGTTACAAGGAACGTATGCATGGATGTCAAAAGTCGTTGGACAGTGACAGGTGCATGTGGGCCCTATAATTTAGGAGGTTCTGCCACAGTGTTCCTCTAGCATGGCAAATGTCAGCGCCTACCATATTGTAGGACAAATGTCGGGGCCCACAACATTGTTCGTGTCCTGACATGTCTGGAAGGTTGCAAAGTACCCTTCTAACATGGCCTGACAGTACCGTCCTGCAGGTGTGCAGGGCATGGTCTTTGGTATTTCGGTTGATTTGTGCGCCTTACCTTATCTGCTCCGCCTGATTTCTCGGGTCCTCACCGAGTGGGCGTCCTCGTTTGGTCGTTCCCAGTCGGCTCTGACCGCGCCGGTAGGAGAAAAGCCGCATGCAGAGGTTTGGTGTGTTCCTGGTCTGAGACGTGGATCGGAGTCGGAAGCGAGGGTCGCCCCTCTTTGGCTAGGCCTTCCGGTCTGAGAGGCGGGTCATAGTCGGAAGCGAGCGTCGCCCTCCTTGGCCAGGCCTTCCGGTTGGGAGAGGCGGGTCGGAATCAGAAGCAAGCGTGGCGTGTCGGAGTCAGAAGCGAGCGTCGCCCTTCTTGGCTAGGCCCTCCGGTCGGAGAGGCGGGTCGGAGTCGGAGACTGAATCACTCTTCCGCCTTGTCGTTAGGTATCTAGGCCGGCCCAGAAGTTGCGCGTCGTCCGCAACGTCGTCTGCTGAGGCGAGCTTTTTACTGGGAAGCAGGCCCATTAGAGACCCCGGGGCTATGAACCTGACACTATTACTAATTAGAGGCTCTAATGGAGGCTTTATTAAAATAATTTTCATAAGATGCAGTAGTAAAAAAAATTCTACATATTCTCACAATAAGAAAACAAAGTAACCTATACATTTGCATTCTTACCTATATATGTCGTTATGAAAAAAAATAAAGTAACACATTTTTATTTGTATAAATTATCCATCCTAGTCATCATAAATAATAAAAAAAATCTCTCTTAAATCTACATATAAATACTAATATAAACTATCATGACAAATAATTTAATATTCATAAAGTATGCTATACATATTTCTAAATTACACACTTCTACGACTATAAAGTTAAAAATAAGTATAATGCTAGAAAGTTTTAGATCTCATAAAAACTGTCATTTTTTTACAAAAATTATCTCCATATGACCTTATATAAAAAATATTTTTTTTCTAAAATAAGAGGATAGTCTTGTCAACAGACCAATAGAAATGGCATGACACAATTTTCATGCAAAGTATACGCTGGTATCTGGCGCGTTTTAGCGTGACACACCTTACCATGTATATGGCGTGGTATGGCAGCGTGATTTTGCCAACACTATGTTACCGTTGTTAGAATTAAAAATGAAAGTTGTGTTGGTTATTTTTAAATATGATTAAATAAAAATGTTGATGGGTCCCAAAAGCAGTGACAAGGTCCAATTTCTGCATGTCCCACGGGTCAGTGAGACAACCGATGTCCAGACTCGAAAGCACATCCTTCTCTCCCCTCTTCTCGCACCGCGAACAAGCGGAACACCTCGGAAGCTTCCGCTCCCAGATCTCCCGAAGAACCCTAACCCCCCAACGTTCTAGAACCTCCCCCCCTCTTCTCCCGCATGGACGGCCTCGCGGCGCCGTCGCCGTCCCACTCCGGCGCCACCTCCGGCGGCGGGGCCTCCCACCGCAAGCGGAAGCTCCCGCCGTCGTCGCTCTCCGACGCCACCGCCGACGAGGACGACGACACCACCGCGCCGTCATCCCCCTCCACGGCCCCATCCTCGCCCTCCCACCCGTCCTCTCCATCTTCCTCACACTCCGACGATGACGACGACGACGACTCGCTCCACACGTTCAATGCCGCGCGCCTCGACGGCGCGCCGGGTGGGGGCTCCGCCTCCGGCCGTCCTCCGAAGCCGGATTCCTCATCAGTGTCTGCTGCGGCGGCCGCCGCCGCGGCTGCGGCGGGCGGAGGGCCCAAGCCGGAGCCCGGCTCGGCGACCGCTGGCGACGGGAAGGAGGACCCAAAGGGGTTGTTCACGGACAACCTTCAGACTAGCGGCGCGTACAGCGCCCGTGAGGAGGGCCTCAAACGCGAGGTCAAGGCTTCTTTTTTATTTATTTTGTTTCACTTTTCGCTGCCCGCTGATAGTATCAGTTGATTTGTGGCGGAGAGTCTGAGGCAGTTGAATCTGTTCAGGAAGATTCGGGAAGGCTAAAATTTCTCTGTTATTCTAACGATGGTGTTGATGAACACATGATATGGTTAGTAGCATTTCTGACTACTCTGTTGAGCAGTATGGCGCTAGTTTTTATGAATAATGTGTCTTCCGCAGGTTGGTAGGTTTGAAGAATATCTTCGCCCGGCAGCTTCCTAATATGCCCAAAGAATATATTGTGCGCCTTGTCATGGATAGGTAATGCCCAATATAATCCGCCTATGGTTTAGCAGTTACTCATAATCTTTGCGGCTTTGGAAATGGGAATAAGATTAAATTCCTTCTGTGGTAGTTAAGGCCTGTTTGCTTAGTATCCTGGAAACTTGCCAGGCACAGGCATGCAGTCCCAGGTGTAGGATTTCATCTGCCTGTGGTCTAGATTGTTGCCTGGGAGAAAAGTTGCCTGGGAGGCAGCATCCAAATAGGCTCTAACTCCTTGTGCCATGTGCCGCAGAACGCACAAGTCAATGATGGTTATCAGGAACAATATTGTCGTGGGAGGCATTACTTATCGCCCTTATGCAAGGTAATGCTGCCATTTTGGTTACTTTACTATTTGTTATGTTATATTTGATATTTCATTGTGCTCTTTCTATTTGAAGATCCAATAGTTCTTTGCAACTAAAAGCAAATGGCTCGCAACTGACACCACTCACTTTATGAGCAAATGTTGGCCGATCAAGATATTGCGTTGTAACTTCACGCTTATTCAGGAAATCCACTGCTTTGATAATATTAAAACAGCTGGCAAGTTAGAATGTAGGATGGAAACATGTGCATGCTTTTGTTTATCCCGCATTTTTTTTATTGTGCTAATTTTTATTTTGGAAATCATAGCCAGAGGTTTGGAGAAATAGCGTTTTGTGCTATCACAGCTGATGAGCAAGTTAAAGGCTATGGAACAAGATTAATGAATCATTTGAAGCAACATGCACGGGATGCTGATGGGCTCACACATTTCTTAACCTATGCTGATAATAATGCTGTTGGCTATTTTGTAAAGCAGGTATGGCTGCCTGACCTTTTACTTTATATAACCTATTTCTTTCAATTTCTTGTTTGCATGTATCAGTAACTAAAAAACTTCAGAAACTACATGTGTGACATACGTAGTAGTACACCTAACCTCACACAATAGATATAACTCAAAATACTTAAAGACCTCTTTATGCTTTAGAAGGATGTGGAGTATTGATGGGTTGGATTGAATGTCCTGTATAATCATTAATATCAATTTGAACTTTAACGTCCCAATTTATCTGCAAGCAATTTCTTAGTGAGGTATAGATTAATTCTCTTAGGTATGACGTCCAAAATAATTGTTTTCATACTTGTTAGTAAAAAATTGCATTGCAAAAGGACGTGATTTGCCCCTTTTTTTCTTATTTTCTCATTGGCAACGTATAGGGTTTCACAAAGGAGATCACATTGGACAAAGAAAGATGGCAAGGGTAAGCCTGTCATTTACATGTCTTTGTTTCCAATTATATCGTTCCATATTCTTTTTAGGAGTTTATTTGCCAATGTTGAACTTAACAGTTTGCTGGTTCTAGGTACATTAAAGACTATGATGGAGGAATATTGATGGAGTGTAAAATTGACCCAAAGCTGCCATATGTTGATCTGGCAACAATGATTCGACGTCAAAGGCAGGTAAAGTAATAATAGGCTAATGACTGCACAAAACACAATGCATCCAGCTCATGATTAAATATGTCCGTTTCCTTTTGTCATTCACTGTATTACATTTCTACAGGCCATTGATGAGAAGATTAGAGAGCTTTCTAACTGCCATATTGTTTATCCAGGAATTGATTTTCAGAAGGTTAGCTTTTTCCTTCATGGGCTCAACTATATTGGGGTGTGCTTCATCTAAACACCCCTTATTTTTGTACTCTGGAGGAACCAGGGGGTGGAAGGGGGAGGGGGACCTGCTAGGTTGCTAGGTACAAAGAAACTTCTTTTTTCTCGAACACACAAGAAGATTTCGTATCATTTTGTTAAGAAGGAGAATACACAGGGAGAAAAAAATCCTCCCTGAAACAACACAACACAAGTACACTTGCAAACTGCTAGATTGCTAGGTATAAAGAGACTCGGTAGTTGATTCTCTTTGTAGAGGAAATTACTTGTAGGAATAATTTGTTTTGTCAGCTGCACAGAAATTACCTTTAGGAAAAGAGGCTGCTACGCCTTGTTATGAATGAGGCTTGCCTGCACCAATCACCATGCATATTTTGTTCTCTTTGGGTTTGTGCTCGATAGTATACGAATACAAATGAAGAATAGTAAGAATGTAAGATCTATCATTTATAAGTATCTCATATTTGTTTCTTTGTAGAAAGAAGCTGGCATTCCAAGAAGACTGATAAAGCCAGAAGATATTCCTGGTCTGAGTAAGTTGTTATATTCAGACTTGTTTTGTTGTTCGCCCTTGATAGTTTTTGGCAGTTAGGAGGACTATCTTGGATATTTTATTGTTCACCCTCTATAATCAGGTTTTGGCATTTAGGAGGTCCATCTTGGATGTTGTATTTTTAATTTGGTAAAATCCCGATTTTATAAACATGCTGCATGCTGAATTATCTGCAGCTGATATATTCAAAAGGTGTTTCAAATTTCTGAGTGCATTAGTGTTGGTTCGTTTTGAAAATCTCAAATAAGTAAAAGCATCAGGAGTAAATACTAGGGACTGTTAAACATACAATACCTATCTTTGTAAGAGAAAGCTGTTTATTTCCATTTTTTTATTATGTCTTTACTGTTGATTTAGTAATGATAGAAGTCTGAGCTTGGCCATTAATGTGATGCAGGGGAAGCTGGGTGGACGCCTGATCAGTGGGGTCATTCTAAATCACGATCAGCATTCTCCCCAGACTATAATACTTACAGGCAACAACTTACTAACCTTATGCGGACATTGTTGAAGGCAAGTTATCTATTTATCTGCACAAATCTTAGCAGATGGTACATGTTACATAGTACTCCCTCTATTCCAAATGCAAGTCACTTTAGCCTTGTCCTAATTTAGACTTCTCTACTTTGACCAAGTTTGTTAAAAAATGCAGAAACATCTACAACATCAAACCATTAGATACACCATGAAATGTTTTCATAGTGTATTTATTTGATATTGTAGATGTTAATATATTTTTCTATAAACTTGTCAAAGCTAGAGAAGTTTGACTTAGGACAAAGTTAAAATGACTTACAATTTGGAACGGAGAGGGTAGTTCATACATGTTGATTGCACCGAACATATTATAAAGATGTACCTTGATACCAACCATAGATTTATGTAGTTCCATACCAAAGATATGGCAAATCAGCTAAAAAGACATACTCCTGCTCATATGAAATTGATAAAGACATCAAATGATTTGTTTTTACTTGTAACACGGACATCCCATTGCAGAATCTGAGTGAACATCCTGATGCTTGGCCATTTAAAGAGCCTGTGGATTCACGAGATGTTCCAGACTATTATGATATCATCAAAGATCCTATTGGTGAGTTTGAACTGCAGGGTCTATAACTCCTTTATACAATCAAAGTGACATTTTATTTAGGTGAACAGCCAGTGTTTAAAATGCATGCCTGTCTGCAGATTTAAAGACGATGTTAAGAAGAGTCGACTCTGATCAATATTATGTGACCCTAGAGATGTTTGTAGCCGATACGAAGAGAATGTTCAACAATGCAAGAACTTACAATTCTCCAGATACTATCTATTACAAATGTGCGACACGGTGAGTTCTTTTTATGTACTTTGTTCTCGCAGCCAGGGATGGGTATGTTCCTGGCCAGTCAGCTGGGAACTGAGTGACATCTGGTTTTCGGAGATTTTCTAGTTGGCTGCTTTATCATGTTCACATTATCTAACCTATAAAATCAACCATGCCATTCTATCTTCTAAATGGCACAATGCCCAGCTTAAATCTGGCTGATACAGTTTACACCAGCTGGCAGACTAGGGCTGAAAACCTTGCAACTCTGGCCTCTGGTTACTTCAAGCTTTTGGAATCCACCATGTGACTGTCGATTTTGTTGTTTTTGGTCACGCAGGCTTGAAAATTTCTTCTCGACCAAAATTGCTTCACTGGTTACACAAGCCTCAACCAAGAGCTAGATTGGCATGGGCTCACTGGACACTGTTGTCGCATGTTGTAAAATTATTAAGTTGTATCTGATATAGTTGTCGCCTTGCTGAATGTTCCGCACGGCTATGAACTTTTAGTTTAGCATACTCTCTTTATTTTAACCAGGAGGGACACTGATTTTTACATATTGGGGCTCAACCTGGCGGGCCTACTAATGTAGATTGAGGAGATTCTGTAGTTTCTAGCACCTATGGGTAAAGATGTTTTCCAGCATCGTTGGAGAAGTAGTACAAATTATAACCTACTAATAAAAAAAAATAATAATAATTATAACCTACTCAGAATTTTGTACTCCTCTTCTCTATTCTAAAATGTAAGTTGTTTTGGCTTTTTTAATATGCAGCTTTTACTATGACCCTGTCTGATGTGATTTTTTTTATTTTTAACACTTTTTTTAAACTAATTTTAAATTTAACACTGTTTTATTTTTTTTCTTCCAAAACTAACACTTTTGCCTACGTTTATTTCCCTGGCGCGGCGAAACACCTGTGCCGCGCCATGCATGGTGGCGTGGCGAGAGGGATGACATGGCGATGACCGGGGCGTTGATCGGTGACGTGACTGGGGCTGCCGCGCCGTGGATCTAGGCGTGGCATTGACGCGCCACGAAGCATGGGGTGTCAAGGCCGGACCTGCACTCAGCTGTTCATTCTATTTTCTTTGTATACGACTGACTGCCACTCTGTGAGTCGCCAGTGGGCGGTGGGTAGTTAGGCAGGTAGGCACGGCCGCACGTGAACGAGTGAGACTGAACGTGAATACATGATCCGCATAGGTACGAATGGCCTTAAAACACGCATCAGCTAGGACTACTACCAGCTAGTTGAGTCAAGTCTATTCATGCAAAAGGACTAGCGTCCTGTAGATGAGATGACTATTCTAGCAAGGTGCAGATGTGTAGCACCTCACCAGTGTATGGATATGCATGCTCTAGATAAATTTAGTAAAGGAATCTTGATTAATTTATATAACTAGCATGGATCAACAACCCTAGTTCTTGACGACATCACTATTAATAGTAAAAGATGACGTGTATAAAGAAAATGGTAACTAATCAGGTAAGTGATATTTAATGGAGTAATATTAATTGTCTCATGCATGGTATATATAACGTGAATGGTGCCTAGTTTGCTTGAACGGCTATCTCTCTGTATGCATGAACAGTTAGTGCAGCATGAACAACTACATATATGTGCATGAACAGCTACCTATACGTGCATGAACAGCTAGTTGTTCCTAGGGTGACAGGCTAGTATGAGAGCTACAAGTATCAGCAGGTGGGACATTACCTGCTCCTATCAGTCGTCCGGGTTTCACTTAGCAAGCCAAGAACGAGTACACTATTGCTCAATGTGTGTGTTGCAGGTCCGATCAATATGTATGTGTGCTGGTTCGCTTGAGATGATTGAGCAAGATTATTTTAAGGCCATCCAACACTCAATTTTTATAACCACATGGTTAAGATCTAATGATCAGAATTAATTCAAAGATAGAACATATAAAATAATATACCATGACTGATAAGTTCAAGCGAATAACGCTGTCACGATGGATCACTGATAGCATTTGCTTGACGAGACGACGACAACGACGGCGATCGACAGCGGCACCAGAAAAATTAGAGAGTTTCAGATGTTGAAATCGAACTTCATTACCGGATAGCAACGAAATGAGAGTTTCAGATGTTCGCAACATCCACCGCATACATACCACAAAACTTTCACACTCCTGAACATAGTTCAGAAAGCTGGACAAATTTCAGCCTACCTCCCACCAGAAAAACGACCAGCTATTGAACTTTAACAGAAATCTGGTGCATATATAGAAGTTACCATACTTAAGTAGGCACAACAAGATTTTTTTTAAAGATAAGCATAAACAGATCACAACATTATTGTTTATAGTAATTGCACCGGTCAATAAGCACACGCCCGGTGATCATAAACCAATTGACGGTGTCAAGGACTAAATAAGATACACCTAGTAGTCATAGCTAGTCCTCCTCATCATCCTAATGAACTTCTCAAAGTCTATCTCACCATCACCTGTGACAAACCAGAAATCAAGATAAATTACAGCTAGTAACTTAAAATACGAGGGTCTTTCTAATTTGCATAAAGAAAGAAAGATGGCAGAGCACAACTAACCATTTCTGTCCGTCTCTTGCACCATGCCTAATTTGTTGCATTATCCAGAAGATGAGTAGTGTTATTTCAAGGAACTTTCCACAGCACATGGATGTGGTTCCATACTTGCATGGGCTCAAACACAGAAAAGAAAATATGAAATAATATTGTGGCTCTTATTTTCGTGAGGGGCATAATATATCATGGACATGATGAACCGATGAATTCATCTCATCAACAAGCTAACTTCTTAAGAAATATGAAATATATGGACACTAAAAGATATGCTCAAAAGAAAGCAGGCACTGCAACACGAACAGAAGGAAATGCTCAGCGCAACAATATCAGCAGGAATTCTCTCACTACTTAACATTGCGCTTATTCTAGGACTGCTTATGCAAGATTACAATATCAATTCACCTAACATAAATGGAAGAGCTATAGCATTCTTTGTCGTAGAACTGTCGAGGAACAAGACAACTACAACGCACTTTCTAGAGAACGTTGCCTTACCTCATGGCAACATTCAGCTCTTTTGCATCAATGGTTCCTATGAGACAAGTATGCTAGTAAGATATCAACAGTTCCAACACTAGGAAAGCAATTGTGTCTTTTCTTGCCGCAGTGTTGGAGTGGAAAGCCGAGTAGCCCTCCACCGCCGGACTACGAAAAGGCGGCCATCACTGCAAGACGAGACGACGACACAGGCGTGCCGGGACCCCTACCTCCCGCGAAGGCTGCTTTGCACCGCCCATGAATTAATAAGCGGATTGCCGCGCCACACGCGCGTGGCGCGTCGATCTGTGTGCGCAGCGATCCCGCCCACGTCACCGGTCGGCCGCCCGGTCATCGCTGCCACATAAGCACTTCGCCTTGGCCGCCATGCATGCATGGCGGCGGCAGTTTTGAATTCGCCGTGCCGTGTGAATAGGCGCGGCCAAAAGTGTTAGATTTGAAAAAAAAAAATAAACAGTGTAGGTTTTAAAAATAGTTTAAAAAGTGTTAAAAATAAAAAAATTCCCCGATGCGGCTTCAAGCCGCTACAGCTGCCTACATCTGTTTGCCCTTGTCAATACTGTAGCATGAACTATAAGCCTTGCAGCCGCGGTGGTTTAAATCTGCAGCGAATGGGCCTATACGTATCTAGACATAACCTATATCTCGGTACTAGTAAAAATTAATACTTATAATTTATAAGGGAGAGAATAGACTGTTAAAGAAAACCTCAAGTAAAAGATGTGAAGTCATGAATTAAGGCATCATAGCTGATTAGGTAAAAGGGTTTCATTCTAATTCAGAACATTAGAATCAAGTCTGCATAAAAGGGCACAGTGTCGTACTCCCCTAATCCAAATTATAAGATGTTTTGTTTTTTCTAGATATATAGCTTTTGCTATATGTTTAGATGTATACTATGTGTAGCCATGTATATAAAAAAGCCAAAACATCTTGTGATTTGGAAGAGAGTGGAGTATGAGGTAACGAAGCCACAAGCCGGTGCGAATCAGTTTTTTTTTCTTTTCACATGAAAGTTTGAAGTCATGGATAGATTTAGGAGCACTCCACAAGTATTTGAAGTCCATGGTCACGTCGGCATTTGCTGAGGGTCTGTTTGGATCCCACCGACTAATAACTAGTTGGCTAACGTTTAGCCTTTGAGGATCAAACAGGTGAATTAGTGGGTGGGCTAAATTTTAGCTAAGGACTCAAATAGTTGTTAGCTCACTGGTCAGAACCAAACTATCTGGGGCCAAATTTTCACGTAGCTGGGTAAAAGACACCGGTACCCACGCCTACGCTATCCGCACCACATCCTTTTCCCCTTCGTCGCGCCGCTTCTTCTCGCTCGCCGCCGCCACCCGTTTCTGCCGCTCACCACCGCCCAGTGCGCCCGCACCCCCGTCCTGCTACTCCACTCTTGCTCTTGCGGACGGCTCCTGGCACGGCGCAACCACGTGGGAGGCTCCGCGCACCGAGCCCGGCCGGCGCCGGGCCTAGCGACGGGATGACACACCAGCGCGGCGCAGCGGCATCGCGGAGGCTGGCCACGCGCGGCGGCGGCAGGGCGTGCGGCGCTTGTCGAGGGGCGTGCCTCCTTGGAGATCTGGTTGGCGTGCTACTCACGTCCTTGGGGAGAAATTTGTGGGTGCTGCCTCCGCCGCCGACGTCGGACCTGGTGCTCCATCAGTTGCTCGTGCCCGCCGTCGGATTTCCTCCCAACGCCGTCGAGCAACTAGACCCGGTCACCAGCATCGACGAGCTGGGAAACAAGCTCAGGGGCATAAATGACTTTGTATTGAGATAGTACTACTTGGTAGTCCTTAATCCAAATATGACTGAGCTAATCACTGGTCAGCTAATTAGTAGTTCTTAGTTAATTACTAGTCCTAGTCTGTCCAAACGTACCCTGAGATGATAGTTATGCTGTTTGTTTCATCGAAATTTAGTTTTAAGCTGATCCTTATGCTGATTTGTTGTGAGAGGTAATGGATAGATTCACTGGAAAGTAGCGCCGAAGTCGTTCTCTCCGCGGTTTCGTCTTTTGCCTTGCAACGCGTTGGATGTGGCGTCGCCGCGTCGGTAGAGCAAACACCGACCCACGTCCTGACAGCACATTGCCGGTCACATTTTGAAACCGTGCCTTCACCCTCGGTTTATCTGTAGATTTGCCGCTTCCGGTGTATTAATGGCATAAATAATGTATATTATATTGCTAGATATATGCCTGTTCGTTGCACTAGTTGCATCA